AGCATGAATCAATAGCGCAGGCAAGAAAAACTTGTTAGGTCAGTTTTCAAAGAAGCAGGGCTGAGCCCATGGTTTAATTGCATGATTTTATTTTTCCCCCTTAATAGTAATAATACATGTGTGTGCGTCTGTGTGTGTGTGTGTGTGTGTGTATGTCTGTGTGTTTTGTAACAGTTATAATAGTATCTGTTTATTTTAAACCCAGGTCAGAAATAAATATTGTGGCCATGTAATCGTGTTTGAAATATAGAATTGGGAAGGTTTCTGTAACTGGCAAGGATTTAAAAATCTACATTGAAGCTCATATGTTGATGACCTGGGCAGTACTATTCTGTTCTGAAGGTTTCTGGATTTTGTCCAAAATGTGTGAAAGCCAAATAGATTTTATTTTCAAATAACCTTTTATAACAAAGGTTTCAATTCAAGCTTGGCAATTTGCCATGATATTGGGGATACAATGTTCTGCTTGTGACTATGTAAGTACATGAAGTCAGACAACTGAACTATCAGAAAGTCTCCTTAGAAAAGCGTATCAAGATTTCAAATTCTCTATTTTTTTAATTTGCTTTTAATATATAAAATTTACTCACTGGGTTACAGTTGTATGAGTTCTAACAAATGCATAGAGGCGCGTAATACCACCACATTTAAGAAACGCAACAGTTACCAAAAAAGTACTTTGTAGGTATTCTTTTGTAGTCAAGTCCTTCCCCAGCCTCTAACCCCTGACAACAGAATCTGCGCTTTGCAGTCTGGCTTCTTTCACTTAGCACAATGCACTTGAGATTCGGCCAGGTCATTGCATGTATCAACAATCTGTTTCCTTTTATTGCTGAGTAGTATTTCATTGTATGGGCTTACCGTACGTGGTTTATCCATTTCTCAGCTGAAGAGTGTTTGGTTTGTTTCCAGTTTAGGGCAATTACAAATATCACTGCTGTAAGCATAAGTTTTTGTGCAAATGTAGGTTCATTTCATTTGGGTAAATACTAAGGATTGTGATTTCTTTATTTTCCCTTATCTGAGAATGACTCTATTTTGCATCCATTCCTGAAGGATATTTTGGTTGCATAAAGAATGCGGAGTTGATAGCTCTTTTCTTTCAACAATTCATGAACGGTGTTCTACTGTCTCCAGGCCCCCATGACTTCACTGCCTTCCTGACTGTTCGTCAGGTTTTGACTTTCCTCACCAATCCTCCTGCTGTGGCATTTTATCCAGAGGTAGTTGCTTTTTGTATTTTGATCAGAGTTTCTGGTTGTAATCAGAAGACAAGACAGACTAAACTGGGCTCATCCCATCTTGTCTGAACCAGAAGCCCCAGTTCTCTAGTAACCACTGGGAAAAGATATTTTGCAAAGAAGTTATAGCTTAATGACAGAAATCGGGACAGGGCGTTTTTTCTTGTTTCCCAGAGCACCCTAATGTTCCTAATGACTATGCTCTGTGATGTCATAGATGAACTATTTTTTAACATCATGAGGTCAAGCTACCTTCGTCTGTAGGTGGTGCCCAAGCCTCTCTTCTGGGCTTGCTTGCATCATACAAATAATCTTTCCTTGCCCATGAAATGTCCAGTCTTCATTACACTTTCTAGTAGTACTATTGCGGCACTGCTGTACCATGTGATGAAGATTTAAGGGAAAGGAGAGGAAAATTATTGGCTATAACTGCAAGTTGGAAAAACAGGAACTTTTCACTCGTCCTGAGACTAGTCTTTCTGAGAGATTTATATAGGATGGCTCTAGAAACCATGCAAGTAATTTTAAATAAAGTTTCTGTAGATAGGACAAGAAGGAAGATGGCAGAGACATAGAAGTAAAGACAGAAGATGGGGAAGTGGGAAGTGACATGAAACAGGAACCCAGGGGGACGTTTAGACTTCGTGCTCACCAGGATGTTTCATCAAAACTAAAAATCATGCCCACAGAGGTTGCCCTCTCGGGTGTCACACGGTCATGACTGGCAGTGACAGGGTTGCTGTGAAGCGGTTCTGTCTCTGGATGACTGTGGCACCTGCCACCAGTTGCTCTAGCACTGCTGAGTAAGGGAAAATTTGGGAGAGGGGAAAGGAGTGTAAACCAAGGATTAAAATAACCCCTGGTTAGCCAGGTTGACTCACTCTGAACTTGAGATCCAGCTGGCTCCAGGAGTTAGGAGACTGGTGAGCCTTGGGAGCCAGTGTGGTCAAGCACGTTTCCGTGTCAGTTGGCTCACCCATCAGTTATCACCGTGACTTCACTTCTTTGTTTGGTGTGACTTGGCTTTAGATACAGGCCACGAGCCGGCTGGTGTTCATAGCACTTGCCTTTTGATCTCCAGCATACAAGGTAGAGAAATAGTCTGGGGAAGTAATGACGAATGAGTCTGCCCATCTCTTCTTTCCTCCTGTCTTTCCTTTTTCCTCTGTCTGTCTGTCTCCTTTTGTGTTTGTGTAACACACCTGCCTGTCTGTGCCTGTGCAGACTCACTTTGTTTTGAGGAGCCGAGTTGTGCAATTCCCACCACGCCCTGTCCGCATACCCGCTTCCATGCTAAGCTTGTTTTCTCAGTCGCTGCAAGTGATTTCGCCCGGGAATGTTCGATGGAAAGACAAGGAAGTAACTTCATAGTTTATTTCTCTCCCAGTGGCTTATCTTGCTACACTCAGTGCT